ATATAATGTTTTTAATTAATTCTTTCACCTTTTTATAAGTGTAGTATTGCATTCGTCACGTGATTATCGCCAGAGAGAAGAATACGCCAAAACAAAAGAATTTATAAGCCCTTACGTAGCTATATTGGTCAAATTCCTTAAAATAAACAATATACAAAGATTATTATTAATCTACTTGTGTCGTGTATTGAGGTTTTATAGGTTTGAATACATATATTTAGCAGTCTAAGATCGACCCTTTTATTTATAGGAAAATCCCATGTTTAAAATTTGGCAACCATATATTTTAGATGTGTCTTTTTCATCAGATAAGTGATGTGACGTGGTAATGTTGAAAAGACAATTTCCAACTAAATCGTGTGCATATTTTATTTCAAGAAAAGAAAAAAAAAACTTTTATGCATAGTCAATACTAATTTTAACAACAATACACTTATAGTATAAAACTGTTTATTTAGTCGATCATTTAATCATAAATTAGTGTTAATTTTTATAATAATTATCTAAAAATTATACAATTTACAATTTTTATTAATTAATTATGTAAAACTTTTTATATTAATAATACATCACAATTAAATATATGATTAAGAATATGAGAGAGAAGTGATATAATATTAAATTCAATTAGTGAGGGAAGGAAGAGATTGATGATTGTGTATTTGTGTTCATACACAAATACTAAAAAATGTAGTGTAGATACAAAGTTAAGTATATTTGCACATTAAAGAGGGGACACCTAAGCTTTCCAATGTATGGTCATGTGCATCTAATCTTGTACAATATGATATTCCCTGCATTTTAACATAATTTAATGCAGGGAATATCTTTTACTTTTTTATATTTTTTATTTATTTTAAATAAAAAAATAAGATATTCCCTGCATTTTTTCATAATTTAATTGCTGCCTTTATTTTGCTTGTTTAACCACTTTATTCAGATGTATTTCACTTATTTAATATTTTGGCCTTTTCTTTTTGGAGTATATGGTGAAGTAGTAAAGCTAGATTGGGGCCAATTATTACCTTAATTGAGATTGAATGATTTTCTTCAAAACTTTAAAGGTACTTTTCATAGCAAGTTTGCAATTTGAAATGAGAGTGTTTATTTATTTATTTTTCTTGTACATTGATATGATATTTAAATTTGAATTTGTGTAAATTAATTTTTTAAATGAAATAAGTTGAGAATTCGACTTTCAGGTTTATATATATTTAAAATGTATGTATTTTTGTATTTGTGTATTAAAATACATATGTTAAAAGAGGCTACTTTTTAAAATAAAAATCTTAATATTTCAGAGAATATATTAATGGAAAAAAGGTTACTAACAATATAAAATAATTTTACACCGTCATTTAATCATAAATTACCATAAATTATAAGAATTAATCTTTAGAATTTTAACAGAAATATCTGAGTCCACATAGAAGACATTTTATTAATTAAAAAAGTTGTTGAAATCAATATTTTTCTTAAATATATAAATTAATTATGTATTTTCTATTGAAGACAATTTTTTGAGTTGAATAAAATTATTATAAATAATAATAATAATAATAATAATAATAATAATAATAAAATCTTTCAAATATTTAACACAATACAATAAAACTATTATAGATAATAGTAATGAAATCTTTCAAATATTAGTGAAAATATTTTTTGACTTTATAAAAAATTAGTCTCTCTCAAAATTTTGACTGCATTAAAACTCTCTCTACATCAGTTTTTTTAGTTTATTATAATTTGATATTACCGTAACTAATACATCTATTGTACCATAAGATTTTATAATGTTTAAGGGATTATAAAAAATTGAATATATTTGTAGTATAATAGATGAACCGTGCACGATTAAATAAATATTAATTAGACATATGCTGATACATGAGCCACATGAGGTTAGACTTTAAGAAATGTTTATAAATTGGTTTAGTTAGACAAAATCTAATCATAAATCATAATACAAAACTCATAATTCAAAAAATATAATACAAAAGCAAAGAAAAATGATTATACAAACTTTAGTTAGTTTACTATGGCAATTTCAATGAAGTAATTCACATGAATTGTTTTTCTTTTTGAAGGGAATTTACATGAATTGTTTGGTCAAAAACTTAATTATGAAAACGTACGAGACCCATTAAAAATTGAATATCAACCGATGCTCACTGTAATAATATTTGGAGAATTTTCGGGTTATCTTTCTCTTTCTTATAAATATGGAAGTAAAAATAATGTTTATTTCAAAGTTTGTTTAAAGGTGGTGTAATAACATTTTCAAGTATCTTTTTATGTCCAAAAAAGTGATATTTTTAATAATAGAAATATTTTATTCATGAAAAGGTAGATACATGATATTCCGATAAAAATATTGGAATTTTTTTTTATAACTTTGTAACTTTTATTTTTATTTAAATTATTTTAAATTTTAAAAAATATTAAAATAAGTCAAACATATTTTCTTATATTAAAATAATATTCTGAGTTATATTATTCTTAGAAATATAATTCTCAAAAATACAAAACTAATCCATAAAACAAACTCTCCTTTCAATTGTTCTCAAAGTAATGAGTTGCTGTTACAGTTACTCACTCAATTACTTTTTCATGAACATCCAACATTAAAATTGATTGTAGAGATTGTGTTAAAAAAAAAAAGTTGGTTGTAGGGATAATAAGGTGCTATAATTGGAGCACTAAGCAAACAACTATGATTTTCTTCAATCATGATTTTCATTAAAATAACGCCTATTTGTTTTTGAGTAAATTAAAATTTATTTTTCCTAATTTATCTTGAAATTACTTCATATTATAAATAAAAAAGAAAACTGACATTTTATGAAAAATTCAGATATACACCTATAACAGTGGTTTAGTTAGATACAGGATGTGTTTGGTTTTATCTTTATTGTTGGCATTGAACAACTTAAATCATAGTTTACAAAAATATTCCATGTTCTTATATTTTCAGTTCATATTTGAACCATGTGACACCGTAAAAACTACTATTTATTGATGAAAAAATATATTATCATATTGTTTTTAAGTATATTTCATTAAAGACAATTATGTTTAATGTATGACAAAAAGTTTCTTTCAAATATTTAATAAAGTTATATACCTAAAATTTTAAATTCATGGTCACTTAGTAATATAGAATAATCTTATGTCAGTATATCTCTACGCTCAATAGTTTAAATTGTGGCTTGTTGTTATAATATTAATTTAATGAAAATTAAATTATTAATATAATTTTTTACAGTCTTAATATAAGCATTCTTATTTACACTAATAATATAATAAATAATACTAATTTTTTATGTATAAAATATATATACATATATCACAATTATTTATTAATATGATATATTATATTATTAGTTAGACTCACATTATTTGTTTAAATAGTTTATATTTTACTGGTAGAGATTAGTTAATTCAAGACTAAATTTGTACTACATGGTATTTTATTTTGTTGCAAGTAAAAGTTTAATCTATCAGAAAGAATTACTCTCATCAAAGGAGTAAATTACGGTATAAATTTTGGTAGAAATATACTCATGTTTAATGTCAATAGCATCTAAGATTGTTTCTTTTAAAAGAATAAGTTATTTTAATAGCATTTGATACCGACCATACTATTAGCATGAAAATAGTTCGCACAAAGTTCATGAAGATTAAAACTATTCTAAGTTGGAATTCCATCTTGACCAAAAGGTTCATTCTTTTGATTTGTCGTGTGAAGAAACTCATCTTGACCAATTTTACAATTAGGTAAGAATTCTTTATAATTCTTACACTTTATTGGAAAGAAGTGATTCAAGAGCGATTTGAGAAAAGAAGATGAATTAGAGCAGAATTAAAAAAAAAATCAGTTGAATTTGGTGGAAGTGATTTAAAGTGAATTGTAAGAAAAGTAAGGTTAGGAGTTCGGATTCTGTCTTGTATATGCAGCCGCGTTAAAGTTTGGGGCCAACTATCTCATTCTTTAAAGTGTCTCTAATATAGCGATGAGATTAGCCACTGCTATCAGCGGTAATGAATATTTCAGAGACAAACAAAAAAATAAGTGAATTATGAGAAATATACGAACGATATTACAATAATTATAGTAATATTTTTTCATATAAAAACATTATCACTACGTTTAATGAAAATATATATATTTTAATATAAAAAAGTAAAAAATTTATGAATATATTTTTTTCAATCTCAATTAAGTTGAATTCAACTTATTTCCAAATACACCTTATAAACGTGTCACCTACAATTAAAAATAAAATCATATTTTTTGTTATATCGATACACTCATGTGACAAGCTACTAAATTTGGTGAACAAAAAACTTATCGAATAATTAAATATATCAACAGATAACGCATTATGGAGTTCCATATTCAAATACATTAACAAAATAATACTTTATTCTTTTTCTAAATTATGTCAACTAATATAACCAATTATATTATTATATTATATATAAAAAAAATATAATCTCACTTCTATTTGTAAATATAAAAAGAGGAATAAAATGATAATTATATATATTATTTATTTTTACATAAAAATTTAATTATATAATATTTACTTATATTTTCACTTAATTTTATTATTAAAAAACTTCAAATTTTATTATATTTTATTTATTTATTTATTATTAAATCAATTATTATTTATTATCTCTCATTCCATTTCTTTCCTTTCCCCTATCATCTAACAAAGCATTAAAGTGTTTTTCCTTTTACATTATCAAATTCTTACAATTTCAAAATTTTAAAAGTAAAAACAAATTCAATTTTGTAAAAGTAAAAAATCATATCAAATCCTACCGACCGCAAATGTGAATGAAAAAAAAAAAAAGAAAAAGGAAATAACCATACGAAGAAGAAATCTCAACAATTATGCAATTAACATTAGAATTAGGAAAGGGCGCGATTAAAAGCATGTGGGAACCGAATCGGTGTGTGTGAGGTGCAGAATTACAACTAAGAAAATAAGAAAAATAATAATTGGGGGTAGATACGCGCATGAAATAAATTGGACTACTATATATGTGTATTGTTATTGCGTACACATGTATTAAAATTATTTTTATTTGTTGAATTCTTTTGTTTTGAAAGAGGTAGCGGCAATTCCTAGAGAGAGAAAGAGACAGGGAAGAGAGATTGGTGAAGAAGAAGATAACAAGCTCTGCTCATAATATTCGAATTTTTGTTGTAAGTTTTCGTTTTCACCTCCTTCTTTTTCTCTCTCTTAGTTTCTCTCACTTTGACTTGTGACTGAAAAATGGGTTCTTTTTGTGTTACAGAGTTTCAGTTTTGAATTTGAGGATGAGGGTGTCCATGGATTGGATTTGTTGACCTAAAATTATTTCGTTTCACCGTATTCTCTTGCTCTGGTTCATTTCCAGCACTACCCGGTATTCAATCTATGACCCTTTTCTTTTTTAATTATTAATTTCCTGTATTTGATTTAGTTTCTCAGAGAAAGAAAATCTGGGTCGGGTTCTGTTTCATTTGAGTTTACTTTATTTATTTTTTGGGTGAAAGATGATGTTGTCGAGAATGGAGGCTGGGAAGAAGAGTGGTGGGGGTTCTGGTAACCCGAAGAAGTTGTTGAAGGATGTTGAAACCATAAATAAAGCTTTGTACTTGGATAGAAGCTCTTCAAAGAGTTCACTATCTAGTGCAAATTCTCGATCTAAATTCACAGGGAAACCCCAGTTACCTGATCCCAAATCAAAGTCTAAAGCCATTGGTGATAATAATGATGAGGGTGTTCTCAAGGATAAGAAATCCATATGGAATTGGAGGCCACTAAGGGCCCTTTCTCACATCCGAAATAAGAGGTTCAATTGTAGTTTTTATCTTCAAGTTCATTTGATTGAAGGGTTGCCTTCCACTTTTGATGATGCTAGCCTTGCTGTGTACTGGAAGAGGCGTGATGGTGTTCTTGTGACTGGTCCGGCCAAGGTGATTCAATCTGTGGCTGAATTTGAGGAGAAGTTGACCTACACTTGCTCGGTGTATGGCAGTAGGAGTGGACCTCACCATTCTGCCAAGTATGAAGCAAAGCATTTTTTGCTCTATGCTTCTCATCTCGGTGTGCCGGAGCTTGATTTGGGGAAGCACAGGGTGGATCTCACGAGGCTGCTTCCTCTCACTCTGGAGGAGCTTGAGGAGGAGAAGAGCTCGGGGAAGTGGACCACTAGTTTTCGATTAACGGGGGCGGCTAAGGGTGCTGTGATGAATGTCAGTTTTGGGTATGTGGTGGTTGGAGATAATGCTAGTGCTACCAGAGATAGCTATAGTTCTCCTAAAGCAATGGCCTCCAGGCAGAACAGTTTTTCTGTGGCGAAGCCAGATGTTAAACCAAGACAGTATGATGGAAGCAGCAGGGTGAGACGTGCCGCAAGTTTGCAGTTCTCACCTCAAGCAGCAGATGAGGTAAAGGATCTTCATGAGGTATTGCCATTATCTAAGACGGCACTAGCCAGTTCAATAGACATCTTATATAAGAAATTTGATGAAGAAAAGACGAGTGATCCTCTGCATGAGGAAGCAGAACTTGATTCCTTCACAGAAAATCTTGGGCCCATCAAACCAGATGCCTTTGCTTCTGATCTTGGAAAAGAAAAGCCTGAAGAGCATGTGAATAAGGAGGAAAATCTTGGGCCCATCAAACCAGATGGCTTTGCTTCTGACCTTCGAAAAGAAAAGCCTAAAGAGCATACGGATAAGGATGAAAATACATGTCCAGTGCATGTCGAACCTGAACACTCTGTATTTCAAGAAAAGCTGGAGACGGTTAAATCAGATGACAATCCTTTACTGGATTCTGGAAATGAAAACTATGAACAGTGTCAAGGTAACGAATTTTTTGTTGTCGATAAGGGCATAGAACTGTCATCAAATGAACCTGTTAAAGTAGAGGAATCTGTCATAAAGGCTCCTGAGGATGCTTCTACTGCTGATACTTCCTGTACCGGTGGTATATTGGGTTCTGAGGATAGTATTCAACATGATTTTCTGGATGAGGCAAATGATAGTTCTAAGGATCAGGCAGCGGTAGAGGAATTTGCTAGCAAAGAGAATGGTTTAGACACTAATGAGCTGCTGCTCCTGCAAGAGCTAGAATCTGCTTTAAATTGTGTTTCGAATTTGGAGAGAGTAGCACTAGATTCTCCTAAACCTACAGAAGCGAAATCTGAACATAAGATGACGAGGTCACATAGCTTGGATGATGTTACAGAATCAGTTGCCAGTGAATTTTTAAGCATGTTAGACTTAGACCGTAGTCCGATGGGCTTGAGTTCTGAAAGCGAGCCTGAGTCACCAAGAGAGCTACTTTTGAGACAATTTGAGAAGGAGGCTCTGGATGGGGGCTTCTCTTCTTTGTTTGATTTTGACATGAATTATGATAATGAAGCAGATGGTGAGTATGATGCTTCTGCTGCATCTGAGCAGCAGAACTTTTCTGAGGGGGTTAAGTCATCATCCTTCTTGCAAGATCTGCAGGAGGAGCATCGAGTTGAGCCTCCGGATGTGGGGAGCAAACACAGGGCTCAGATGCTAGAAGACTTGGAAACAGAAGCCTTGATGCGGGAATGGGGTTTTAATGAGCGGGCTTTTCATCATTCTCCACCAAAAGATTGTGCTGGTTTTGGAAGTCCAATTCATTTACCGCCTGAAGAGCCTCCCATATTGCCTCCTCTTGATGAGGGGTTGGGCCCTTTTCTTCAGACAAAAGACGGGGGGTTTGTACGGTCTATGAATCCATCGCTCTTCAAGAATTCTAAAAGTGGTGGAAGCTTAATCATGCAGGTATCCAACCCTGTTGTGGTACCTGCAGAAATGGGTTCTGGGATAATGGAGGTTTTGCAGTGTTTGGCTTCAGTGGGAATTGAAAAGCTCTCAATGCAGGCAAAAGAGTTAATGCCGCTGGAAGATATCACAGGGAAGACAATGCAACAAGTAGCATGGGAAGCTATGCCTGCCATAGAAGGAGCAGAGAGGTTAGTCTATCTTGTTTGTATCCTTGGCCTTGGTATGATCTTTTAGTAGCCATTCCTAAATATTTTACTTATTGAATTTTGTGCTTTATGTAGGCAATGCCATTCGCAGCATCATCCAATAACAGGCCAAGGCAGTGCATGTGTGCAAAGGGACTTGAAAGGAATGCCATCTGGATTAAAGTCTGGTAAGTTAAGTTCAAAGTCAGTGGCCAACCAAACAGGCTCAGAATTTGTTTCATTAGAAGACCTTGCTCCATTGGCTATGGATAAAATTGAAGCACTTTCAATGGAGGGTTTGAGAATACAATCTGGGATGTCAGAAGAGGAAGCACCGTCAAACATCGTTGCTCAGTCCATTGGGAATATTTCAGCTCTTCAGGGCAAGGGGGTTGATGTTAGTGGTTCCCTTGGCCTGGATGGAGCTGCTGGTTTGCAGTTGATGGATGTAAAAGACGGCAGTGATAGCGTTGACAGTGTTGATGGGATAATGAGCCTATCATTAACCCTTGATGAATGGATGAGGCTGGATTCAGGTGAGATTGATGATATGGATAACATCAGTGAGCATACTTCCAAAGTTCTTGCAGCCCATCACGCAAACTCTTTTGACTTCATTCGTGGGAGTTCGAAGGGAGAGAAGCGACGAGGCAGAGGCAGAAAATGTGGTTTGCTAGGAAACAATTTCACAGTAGCATTAATGGTGCAACTGCGCGATCCTCTGAGAAATTATGAGCCGGTTGGAACGCCAATGCTTGCTCTCATACAAGTTGAGAGAGAGTTCATGCTCCCTAAGCAGAAAATTTTCAACAGCGTGTCTGAGATAAGGAAAAACAACGATGACGATGATGAGAATGAGATAGTAGCGAAGGTGGAGACAAAGGACACCAAGAAAGAGGAGAAAGGTTCTGAAGAGAAAGAGGAAGAGGGCATTCCCCAGTTCAGAATTACTGAAGTCCACGTGGCAGGCATGAAGCCTGAGCCTCAGAAAAAGAAGCTTTGGGGCACCTCAAGCCAGCAACAGTCTGGTTCTCGCTGGTTGCTTGCTAATGGAATGGGGAAGAGCAATAATAAGCTTTCACTAATGAAATCAAAGGCTGTATCAAAATCTAATGCTCCGGTTACCACTAAGGTGCAACCTGGTGACACCTTGTGGAGCATATCATCTCGAATTTATGGCACTAGAGGAAAATGGAAGGAGTTAGCAGCACTAAATCCACATATAAGAAACCCCAATGTCATTATACCAAATGACACTATAAGACTTAGCTGAAGTTCACAACTTAGATTCTTGTTTTCTCTTGGAGTTGTTAATTTTATCAAGCCACCTGATTCTGAACTCCTTGTCACTCAGGAACCTGTGCTAGGAAATTGTTTGGTTTTGTTATTATAGCATCCATCAAATTGGACTCATCTTTTGATAATTATTGCAAAGTACTAGATACAGAGCATTCATGATGTATTTTTCTGTAGGCACATTTTTCTTTTGTAAAGTTGTTTGTAACTTTTGCATGCATCATTTGTATTTATGTCCTCTTGAAGCTCTGTTTGTATGTTACATGGGATACATTATATTGCAGTCCACAAATAGATCGAGTATTCTTGCAGAAAATGTTATATATTTATATTGCAAGTGCAAATTTAAGCTGCACATTTATGGTCTCGACCATATGATAAAAATGTTTTGTTGTTTTGTCTATGATTTTGGAAAACCATTATGCATGTTTTGGTTGGTTTTGAAAGGCAAATCTCAAATGTTAAACTTCGTTTGTCTTTTATTTTAGGGGATGTGTTGTATTTTAATCTATTTTAGTATAAATGAACTTCTTAACCTTGATTCTATAATGTTTAGTGTGATCGACAATTAGTTTTTGTATTTTAAAAGTAGATTGAAATTTTAAACATCTCTATTTCAACATATAATTTATATTAAAAATAAAAACGAGCTGCATAAATATTGCGTGTATGGAAATAGTTAAATTTATATGAACTTAATTTAGTCACGTCCAAAGTCTAATCATAGAATGAAAATAGACCACCAAAGGTATCAATTGATGCTGGATTATTTTGGCCTAATCAATAATGTTAGGTGTATATTCTGAAAATTGCATTAAATACATGGGGAAAAGTTTGACCGTTTATAATAAATATAGATTTTCGGAATGATTAAAATTGAAAGACAGATGCATATGACATTTTTAAGTGCTCATATGAATATTAACCGACTTAATCATACTATTGTATGGTCCGGAATTATACTTCTCACATTTTCAAAATGTTTTTTTTATTACATGTTTGGATTATAACAAGGTCAAATTAATTTAATTATATATGTTCTCTTACAAATAAGTATTTAAGTAAACTGTTTATCTAAACATACCATAAAAAAATATTACAATAATTTTTATCATATTTTAAGTTTGTTGTATGATTTGTCACATTCATTTTTTGTGTTGTTGTCTTTCCTTTTGGCCTATGGTTTGAAATTTTGACATGAATTGCCATGGTTTCAACATACGACTTTGGATTGCTTGTATGCTGTGATTTGTTCTGTCGTCCATGCACATAGTTTATTTATTTGAAGCGATTTGTTTTTAACTATTAGTGTGTGTTTGGTTTGAATTTATAAACGTAATTTTTTACTCTCTCTCCACGTTTTGAAACAAATTTACGTGAAAATTACAATTTTTTGCTTCTCATGAACGTGAATTTTCACGTCCAAAAACCGAAGCAAACACGCACTAAGTTTGTGTTTAACTTCTCACATGAGAATGAGACCTATATTTAAGTACAATATCACGTCAAATTCAACATAAAAGCAACTATTAGTTGCGTTGCAAATCCATATCCACTAATGCCGAATATGTTTCCAAACACACTAATAAATCTTAGCACATGTTTATTTATTTAAATATTAATCAAAGTATTTTTATTTTTTTTAGTTATATTATTAGTATGAATTACTACATTTGTAAATAATTAATTTTTGTCGGAGAATATGACTGGAATTTTTTTATTTAAGTCCCTTCTCAACAATATTTTTTCAATATACAAGATTCAAACTTAAGATTTTACTTAAAGTGATTAAGTCTAGTACTATTTGAATTAAATAATTATTATTTGAAAATAAATTTTAGCATAAGTTTCTTGTTTTCTAATATTTATATAAAAAGTATAGAAGTTATTTAACATTTACACAAAAAAATAGAAAAACAAAAAAGAAAGCTATTTTCCAAAATTCAATTCTAATTTACAATAATGAAATCTAGTGAACTTCTCAATAATTAATTTACCAAATGAAAAAGTAATACCCTTTGAAATGTTTCAAGTTTGCCATCCATTCTTCATGACATCCATCCTTGGATTTAGCATAAGGTCGCCAAAAACTTTCATTGATGATTTGTTAGAAAATAAATCATATCCCGAGATTATTGAGAGAAAATATTACTAGAATTATCCATATTAGAATAGCTGATTTATAGGGATAGCTTTGCATCATTATAGAAACAGAATAGCATAATTATAGGGATAAGATAACATAATTATGGATACCCTCTCTTGTATATATTTATGATATTTTCATTCAATAAACATAAGGCAGAATTCCTTTTATTTGTCTACTTTACATGGTATCAGAGCAGGGACGATCCTCTGCTAAATCATTTTTTTCCTTTCCTTGTTTCCATGGCTGACAATGGAAATAAACCAAATTCCAATAGTTTTTATTCTCTTCATCATTCTGACCATCCTGGAATGGTCCTTGTTTCCAAATCTCTAGATGGAGACAACTATTCGACTTGGCGTAGAGCCATGGTCATCTCTTTGAATGCAAAATCCAAATTGGGTTTTGTTGATGGAACTCTCAAGGCACCTTCTGCCGGGGCCAAACCAGAAGAATATACTGCATGGAAAAAATGCAACGACATGGTGTTATCTTGGATCTTCAATTCTTTAACACCCGATATTGTAGACAGTGTTATTTTCTATGACACTGCTCATGAAGTTTGGGAAGATCTTCAAAATCGTTTCTCTCAAAGTCATGCACCACGAATTTTTCAGATTGAGAGAGACATTGCTTGCTTGGCTCAAGATCAAATGACAGTCGCAGCCTATTACACGAAGTTAAAAAAATTATGGGATGAGTTAGGCTCCTATAGTAATGCAATCTGCACTTGTGGAGCAGATAATAAAAGGCGCAAATTGATGCAGTTTCTTATGGGGTTGAACGACTCTTATAGTGCTATTTGTGGCCAACTCCTTTTAATGAATCCATTGCCTGATGTTACACAAGCTTATTCTTCCATCATTCAAGAAGAAAAACAACGACATTTGGGCACCACACGTGACACAATAGAAGCTTCAGCCATGGTTGTTCAAAAAAATGAATCAACAGCCCTTGTTGTTCGACGCAAACAAGGCCCTTTTTCTCGTCCATCTAATCGGAAGCCGTTGCATTGTTCTCATTGTGACAGAGATCATCATACAAAAGAAACATGCTGGAAGTTACATGGTTATCCTCCTGAACACCCAAAGCATGGAGCAACCAAGAATACTTATTCTAATCACAATGGGAGTAGTCAACCTTCAACTAATAATGTCACAGCGACTCCAATGATGCAACAGCTGCAGTCTGCAATGACTGGATTAACTGAATTACAACTTCAACAAATGCTGTCTATTATACAGGGTAATGAATCATCTCAGTCAGCTAATTCTAAGGCCAACACCGCCAATGTTTCTTCAGGTTTGTCACCACCCAAACTTATAATTGATAGTGGGGCCACCGATCACATTATTTCTTCACCAACCTTGCTTGTCAGCAGTAAAGAAAACACTTCTTTACCACCAGTTATTATGCCGAATGGCGACCAGGCCCCAATTATCTCTACTGGGACTTTACCTTTAAGTCCAATTGTTTATTTAAAAAACGTACTTGGAGTGCCATCTTGCAAAGTAGATTTGATGTCAGTAAGTCGAGTCACAAGAGATTTAAACTGTTCAGTAACTTTCTTTCCTTCTGGGTGTATTTTGCAGGATTTGATGACGAGGATGACAATTGGTTTGGGTAAACAACGAGGTGGACTCTATTACTTGGTTGCAATGACATCAAATAAGTCACAAACTCCTATTCAATCAATAGCAGCCCATGTCACCAAGTCATCTCCTTCTTCCAACAACTTTACTACCTTGTGGCATCGACGACTAGGACATCTATCTCCATCTAGATTAGATTTCATGGCTAAAACTTTGTTAAATTTCTCTTTAGAATCAAATAAAACTTGTGATGTTTGTGCTCTTGCAAAACAAACACGACTTCCTTTTCCATCTAGTTCAATTTCTTCAATTAAGCCCTTTGAATTACTTCATTGTGATATTTGGGGACCATATAAAATTCCTTCTCTTTCTGGTGCTAGGTATTTTTTGACTGTTGTGGATGACTTTTCTCGCTTTACTTGGATTTTTTTCATGCATCATAAAAGTGAAACCCAACACCTTCTTACCAATTTTTTCTCTTTCGTCAAAACCCAATTTAATACCAATATAGCCAATATTCGGGTTGACAATGGAAGGGAATTTTTTTCTATGCGAGATTTTTTTACACAAGGTACCACTTATCAACATTCTGCACTTACACACCACAACAAAACGGGGTTGTCGAACGCAAACATAGACATATTCTTGCGTCAGCACGAGCTCTTCGTTTTCAAGCTCATCTTCCCTTACAGTTTTGGGCAAAATGTGTCTCCACTACTGTCCATATAATTAACAGGTTGCCCACACCTCTTCTTTCACGCCAGACACCTTTTGAGCGCCTATATAGTAAAATTCCTTCTTATTCACACATTAGAGTTTTTGGATGTCTTGCTTATGCTACAAATGTTCATGTTTCTCATAAGTTTGCTCCCCGTGCCCAAAGATGTGTTTTTCTTGGTTATCCTCTTGGTCAAAAAGCTTTCAAGTTATATGATCTTGACACTCACCAAGTCTTCACTAGTCGTGATGTTGTCTTCCATGAGGATATTTTTCCGTATGAATCCATTGACACTTTCCCAACCACCATACACCCTGTCATACCTAATGCTGTCCAAGATAATCCTCCTTCTGAGACTCCTTCATCCACTCAACCAGCACCTACAGAAAACATATTTGTGCCTCCCATTACTTCCCCACCCATGGTTCTCTTACGTCGTTCTCAACGATCTCATGCTCCTCCTGTAGCTTTGCGAGATTATATTTGCAATCAGGTAGTGTCTCCCGACCCATTGTCATCCTCATCATCTTTTCCAAATAAAGGTACACGATATCCTCTCTCCAATTTTATCTCTTATGATCGTTACACACCTCAACATCGTTCTTTTATTGCCACTATTACTAATGATATTGAACCTACATGTTATGATCAAGCTGTTTCTCACACTCATTGGCAAGAGGCAATGAAATCCGAGTTGGCTGCCTTGGAGGCCAATAATACTTGGTCTATCACAACTCTTCCTCCTGGTAAGCAGGCTATTGGTTGTCGTTGGGTATATAAAATCAAGCGCAAATCTGATGGTTCCCTTGAACGATATAAGGCGCGTCTCGTTGCTAAGGGATATACACAACTGGAAGGTATTGATTATCATGACACTTTTTCACCTACTGCTAAAATGGTTACAGTACGCTGTTTATTAACTTTGGCTGCTGCTCAACATTGGTCTCTTCATCAGCTTGATGTCCATAATGCTTTTCTTCATGGTGATCTTTCCGAAGAAATCTATATGTCCCTTCCTCCTGGTCTTCAGCGACAGGGGGAGAATCTTGTGTGTCGCCTCAACAAGTCCTTATATGGATTAAAACAAGTCTCTCGTCAATGGTTTGCCAAATTCTCTGCAGCTATTCATGCTGCTGGCTTTATTCAATCAAAGGCTGATTACTCACTGTTTACATGTATGAAAGGCAAGTCATTTACAGCTTTGTTGATCTATGTCGATGATATTCTCATAACTGGTAATGACCCTATTGCAATATCCAGTCTTAAACAATTCCTGCACAATCGTTTTCGAATAAAAGATTTGGGTGATCTTAAATTTTTTCTGGGTATTGAGGTCTCTCGTTCTAAGAAAGGTATTTTCATATCACAAAGGAAATACACTTTGGAAATTGTCAAAGATGGTGGGTATCTTGGAGCTAAGCCCATGGATTTTCCCATGGAACAAAATATAAAGCTTTCTGATGAAGGGGAATTATTAAAGGACCCGTCAATATATAGACGATTTGTTGGTCGCTTAATTAATTTGACAATTACCCGTCCAGATATTACCTATGCAGTACACGTACTAAGCAGATTCATGCACGCTCCATGTAAGTCTCATTTGAAAGCTGCAATGCATGTGCTACGATACTTAAAGAATAACCCAGGTCAAGGTCTATTTTTCCCTTCACAAAATGATTTGTCTTTGCGTGCTTTTTGTGATTCAGATTGGGGAGGTTGCCCAGTATCCCGAAAATCAACTACGGGTTATTGTGTTTTTTTGGGATCTTCTCTCATCTCTTGGCGAACAAAGAGGCAGAAGACGATTTCTCTATCCTCAGCAGAAGCTGAATATAGAGCATTAGCTGGTACTTGTTGTGAGTTGACTTGGTTACGATCACTGTTGAAGGATTTACGGATATTGCATCCTAAACCGGCATTGCTGTATTGTGACAATAAAGCAGCCTTACACATTGCAGCCAACCCGGTATTTCATGAAAAAACTAGACACATAGAGATGGATTGCCACTTTATTCGTGATAAGATTCAAGATGGTTCAGTCACAACTAAATATGTACCTTCAGCTGAACAACTTGCGGATGTGTTCACCAAACCACTGGGAAAAGAAGCTTTCTCTATCATGAAGCGCAAGTTGGGAGTTCTTGATATTCACTCTCCAACTTGAGGGGGAGTGTTAGAAAATAAATCATATCCCGAGATTATTGAGAGAAAATATTACTAAAATTATCCATATTAGAATAGCTGATTTATAGGGATAGCTTTGCATCATTATAGAAACAGAATAGCATAATTATAGGGATAAGATAACATAATTATTGATACCCTCTCTTGTATATATTTATGATATTTTCATTCAATAAACATAAGGCAGAATTCCTTTTATTTGTCTACTTTACATGATTTGCTTAAGGAAGCGAAGGAATCGAGGGAAATATGAATGAGTGGGTAAGAATTAATTTAATAAAAAATAGTAAAATTTGTAGTTGTTTGGTGTAATAAAATTAGACAAAAAAAAAAGAAATTAGTATTTTATGATTGTATTTTAAATAGTTAGATTTTTATATAAAAATAAATAATATAAAAAATTATTATTTTATTCCTCTCTTTATGATTACATGTATAATTTGAATTACAATTTTTTATATATATAATTTAGTAACAAAACCAATTATACTAGTTAACATATCCAATTAATATCCAATTAAGCTATCTTATATTAGTCATATAATTTCGTGTAATGAATTAACATTTAAATATAATCGAATATGATGACTTAATAATATATTAATATTCATAGTCAAATATGGTTAATTGCATAATCTATGTCCATCAAAACATAATTGAATATGATGAGTGTCCAATAATGGTCAATTGCATAATTCATAACCATTGGGACATAGTTAAATGTAAACACAATATATAATACTAACCATGAGGTTAACTTAAAAATTTTACATCCATCTCCCAAATTTCATTAGTATCCTCTCAATTGAAAGTGTATAAAAAATATTGTTACTCGCTTTTAATTCCTCACAATTCTCTGAAGATACCCTCTATCTTATACAAGTATATTTTTTTTAAAAATCACTCTAATACATCTCCTTATTAAATGAACCCTACCAAACAGAGACAAATGACACTTCTACAAAGAACTAGAGACAAGTTAAACAACAATGCACCTTACAACTTTAGGCATGTCAAAATTTCCCAATCGTGAAAGAAACAGAAGAATGCTTGCAAATCTCCCTTTTTTTTACACTTTCTATACTAATGATCAAAGTTTATTGAAAATCCCTAATTTTGATGATTCTCTAAGGGGAGGTGATGAATTAATTTTGATAATTTTCTCATGGGAGGTGATCAATTTTCGTAATCCTTTATTATTTAGTTCAACTTTTATGAGAGAAGAAAACGAAAGAAAACTCCTCATTTCTCATTTAAGTTCAGCTGGTCCAGTATTGTATTGAAGAGATTTAAAGGAGAAAATAGGAGATTTAAAACATTTTAGAAGTAATGTCTAAAATATCTTTCTTTATGCTTTTGAATTTAAAATTATAAAAGTATAAGTATAAAATAGTTTTTAAAATCTCTCCTCTTAAGAACCAAATAAATAAATAAAAATTGTTCTGATCCTCCATTAAAATCTCTCCTCACCTTTGGAAACAAATAAGAAAAGAGTTTTTCTCTTCCTCTCAACCAAACAAAATTTATAATTTTTTTCCCTCTCTTTTGAACCAAACAAACCGTTCTATGAAGCAAACAAACCGTTAAGCATTAGTGATGAAACCTACAAAAATTTGTGACTTCTAATAAATTTTATCTAATGGCACAAAAATGAGTGTTAAGATAGTGTTCATAGGTTAGCATTTTCATAAAGCTAATACGTCAAGCGTCTACAACTATAGAATAATCCACCCTTCTACTACACTACAAGCATAATCCACTACTGGAAATCACATATTTTAAAGCAAGGACATTCCATAGTAATTAAATATGGACCACACAAACATACAAGTTTCATGCAAAGACTGTTCCAATCCAGTGTACGCAATAGCAACTTTAAAATACATGGCAAAGCAATAGGAAATGTCTCATAGTGCTAACGCAGATTGAAAAGCCCCTCAAATGGCCATTTTGTAAGAACACATGAAGACACAAACAAGTGACTAAGCCAAGGATGATTTGCCTGACCGTTGAAGTCGGTTTTGGCCGCTTCTGTCGCTCACCGGACAACTGAAGCACGTTGCTTTGTTCCGCCGAAGGTGAGTCCCCCACTGCACGGTGGTGCTCCACCCATGTTTGCAGAATTCCCCAGAAAAATGCACTCCGGTTGCCGAAAATTGACACTGTTGCCGGATAGACATGGCCGGTCAGAGCAGCTTGTGATGGAAGATGCATTATCTCCTGCTTTTGAGGAATGGCTTTCCCCCTCTGATGGATTGTTTGTGGGGTCAGAACCAGAATGTGCACCAGTGACATATTCTGCATTGGACTGTGGAAGCTGTTTGGTGCTGAGAAATCGGCCACCGGATCCCCTGACCCTATTCAAAGCATGGCGGTGCCGAGACTCATGAAGATATGGCTGCATTCAATTAGAGGAGTTGGAAATTAAGCTAAGTAGCACCATTTCATATGCTATATGATTCAACATGATGAAATAATAAATTGCTGATAAAATAATGCAAAATGTAATTAACAGTTTAATTTTTATTAAGGATAGGGCTGCCCCTCACTACATCTCTCATACTAAGAACTGAACATCTTGAACGTGAAACATGTGCGAGACAGCAAGAGGCCCAAGTCCAACAATGGCTCAAACTCATAGACCCAACAATAATCACTAGGATAAGCTATGATATCATATTAAGAATATATGTTTGAGCCTAATTATACCCTACAAAATCAACTGGGAAAATAAAAGTTGTCATTCACTTATATACTCTATTTTTGCCAGGGGTGGAATCGTGTTAACCCCTTAAAGGGTTTATACAAAATGCAAAACTTACCCTTAAGTTATAGTTGTAACTTGTAACTTTGTAAAATATAATTCTAACACTTTAAGTTTTGTATCCTCCGACCCAAAGAAAAAGTTATTACACTTGGGGAAAGGTAAATAATATAGGAATATTTTTCGGTCCAAGGCTCCAAGCATGGAAGAAATATTGCAGCAGTTACATATGCTACCAGAAATGACAGAAGTGTTTAAAAAAGCATCACCATCTTATGAAGCATACCTTACGACTTTTGATAAGTTTGTTCTGAGCCTCAAGCTTTGCTCGTGACTGTCTCCTTCTCAGTATACCATGGTATTGTTTCGCATTCACGTAAATTGGTCCATCTTCTGTAAGATCAAGTGGTAATGCTACTCTGGCCGATGAAAGTCCAAGCATCTGGGGTAAAATTTGGGGTTGACTCTAAAAACATTCAAAAATACAGTAACATCAAATTAAAACATTATACAAAAATTTCATATCACCAAAATCAGGTATCATAAAGTGCAGCTTAATATTAAGAGCATCCATAAAAAAGATGTTACAAGACACAATACTTACAGTAAACTGTGGTCCATAACTGAAAAATGGATCTCCATAAGGATAAGAAGCATGAGCCTGTAATTGGAGGACAACTAGTTAGCCACTAAAAGTGCAAGCAAGAAATCCAAAAACAGCTGTTTCTCTTACCATTGAGTGATTACAATCAACTTGTGAACAATTGAACTCGGTATCAGAAAGATTCAAACAGAGAAATGGCTTCATGTAACCTTCAATATAGTCATTACATAAAATTTAGATCATGACCTGAAAAAAAGTTGCATATTAGACATACCCAAAGGTGAAGCGAGGCTTGGAATATCTCACATACATGAAAAAGTAAGTTATGTAAAGAAGTACATTACATATAGAAAAATGCTAGCAATATAGTCTTTTTAACACACATGTACATATAAATATAAGGGGAACAACATGAAAGGACAGGTAAATATTTACACATACAGAAACTGCAACACAGCAGAAATTCCTAAAGGATGAAAAAAATAGAGGTAATTCTCCACAAAATATATGTTCATGGAATAGGATACTAAACAGATAAAATACAGTCATAAATTAAGAACATAATAATACTCAACTCAGCAAGTCACCAAAGGAGGTAGAGACATAATAGTGGAGCTATCCTTCACAAATTTTCCTTGTTTACTAATGCCAAGGAATAAAAATGAACTCACTCAAAGATTTCATCCCTCTCAATACATAGACCAATTAGCTCATAAAAAATGTATAAACTCATTTTTTTTAATACTTTTATAAGAGGGATTAAAGTAAGGAAAAAACTTACATGCAGTATCATAGATATTGTTCTCCAATTAGAATTGAAGTTTCACCTTGTTATATGTATAATAAAGGGTTGCATTAAATGTCAACATATATTACTAAAGTAAAACTTCAGTTCTAATTGAAAAACAACATCGATAGTACCTACGGTGTTGTAATATTGTATCTAAATATAAACTTTATTAGTAAGGAAAAAAGACTTAATAATAAAATGAAGTTTTCCAATCCCTTGTGATTGCTAAGGAGGAAATGAACAGCATAAAAACACCCCCTCCTAAAAAAAGCAGAGCATCCTCCTCCAACTAAATATGCCAAAGGGAAATAACCACTTGAATTTACAAGTACTCAAATGAAAAGTAGCTATGTCCGGGTAACAAAGCAACAAGTTCAATGTAAAATCCAACCAGAAACGAAACAATAAGAGTTATAAAACAGATATAAGATAACAATTAGCGCTTAGCTGCTTTCAAATTAAAGATGATAATTCTAATTTTTTCACCAATAAGTTTCTAGAAAACTCAAGCCATGAAAGCCACACCCATGCATAATTAATGACACTCAGTGTAGAAAAAAACAGATTTGAAAAAGGTCAGTCCTAGAATACTGATTAAGGTAATCCCTGAAACTCTAGATTCCAATTTTATATTCAATTTCTTAAAATCAAATGAAAGTACATACCATATTTTGCACAACCAAAAAATTACTAAGCTGCTTCTAGCCACCTCCAACACAACATGTTATCTTGAAGAAATTTAAGTAAGAGAATAAAATAGATGTTTTCTTCCTCTCCTTCCTCTTCAGAGTACTATATCCTAGCCTTAATCTTAAAGTACTGCATACTACTATGAATCTACGACATAATGAAAAATAGAGAGATAGAGAGAGAGAATCATCAAAGAATGCACCAATATCGATTATAGCATTCTCTCAGTTGTGAAATAGGAAAATAAGCCATGCATGCATGCATCCATGTTCATATGAATCCTTTCACTTTTTTTGTTTTAGTCCCTCAAATTAGATAAATCATTTCATAGTGATTTATTACCAAAGTAATTATTCAATTTTGACGCGTCTACTCTATAATATTGTTACATGGCTGGCAGAGTTGGATGGAAAAAAAAAAAAAAAGAAAAAAAAAAA